AGGAGAAAGAAAGAAAAATACTGATTTTACCTAAAAATGGCCTAAATCCATAAAATTTATTAATTTTATTAACTTTATATCCTTGAACATGTGCCTTTTTTAATAATCCAAATAAGGAAATGGGAAGAACACATAAAGTACACTTCTGCAGCACCCCAAAATATAGTATTTGACTTGAGGAGACATTGGAGGCTATTCTAAGATGAACCAGACATTTACTTTTCTCATGGAACACAATTTTTACTTAAAAGAACAACCAACAGTCAAATTGTAGTTATACAGACCTAGATATTTGGCAGACATTATCCCAAAAATGAATGAATGAGCATGTTACGCCAAGGAAAATAACCGGCATTGTTTGTCACCAATGATTAGGAAAGAGGAATGCCTATGTGGCTCAGTCAGTTTGGTCCTCGGATAGAGTCCCGCATCTGGCTCCTTGATCAGCAGGGAGCCTGCTTCTCCCTCTCCCTCTGCCACTCCCCCTGCTTGTGCTCGCTCGCTCTCTCTCTCTCTCTGACAAATAAGTAAATAAAATCTTAAAAAAAAAAAAAAAAAAAGGACGGGGCACCTGGGTGGCTCAGTTGGTTAAGCGACTGCCTTCAGCTCAGGTCATGATCCTGGAGTCCCGAGATCGAGTCCCACATGGGGCTCCCAGCTCCATCGGGATTCTGCTTCTCCCTCTGACCTTCTCCTCACTCTTACTCTCTCTCACTGTCTCTCTCTCAAATAAATAAATAAAATATAAAAAAAAAAAGAGGGAAAGAACTTTCAAGCTAAAAGTAGAATTTTGGAAAACCTATATTTACCAACGTGAATCTGACAACTTTCCAATTTCTGAAGAATTTTTATTAATATAGGTGGTAATATATCGTGCCAAATAGATAAAGGTGCAAAATAGATACATAGATCTTAATATAATCAAATGATAATGTTACTTGATTATAATCAAGATTATACATTAAATCAGATTTAACTTTGTAGTATACTTTAAGACATTGCCACTTGTCGGGTTTTGATGAAGTATCAAGAAAGGCTATTCACAAGGAATTTCAAAGAATATTTGAAAGGCTATTGTTACTCCTCCCTTTTCCAACCATGTGTTTGGGTGAGGTCAGCTTTGGGTCACACCCCTCAGACAAAACAGCATAGTGTAACAGATTGAACATAGAGACAAATGGGAGATTCAGGTCTCTTCTATTAAATCTGAAATTAAAGAGATTTGCAGAAATGTTAAAAAAAAAAAAAAGCACCGATCTCACTAAATTCTCTTGTTTTGGAAAATAGTTATTTTTCCTAAAAATATTATTTTAACATAGAATGGGCTTATTATTGTTACTTTTAAATATATTTGTAAATGCATATTTTTAAAAGTCTCTGGTACAATGAACACTGGTAGGTGAAACCCACATTAACAAAAGTTCTTTAGGATTCCGCATAATTTGTAAGTGCGTAGCGAGGTCCAGAGACCAGAATTTGAGATCACTGCTGTGGAACTTTTTCAAACCAATGGTTACAGAGGGAACTACCTGTTGAAGACATGAGGAATTTATTGGGTTTGTGGAGTACCAGACTGGAGGAAAGTGGCAGCCGGGGACAACAAAGTACCACTTTGTGTCTCGGCAGGGGACGGGGGTTGGGGGTGGCGACCTGAGCATGAAAAGCATAGATTTGTTCTCCTGCCAGTTGAGAGACAGACACCCGTGTCTCGCTCTGTTCAGGACACTATGTTGCCTAAGGGTAGGTCGTCATGCTGCACCTGCCTATAACGAATTTTGTTTCGTACTCTGTCGCCTCTGCCAATGAAATGTTTATCATGTCACTAATGGAAGAAAATAGAGTTGGCCAGTGAATCCCCACTTCTTGGCCAGCTGTCACCCCCTGCCAATACCGGTTCTCAAAAGAAATCTGCAGAGAGGACAAGCCAAGTACATGTTAGTTGATGGGGACAAAGATGACGATCACCATAGAGCTTGTGAAAACCCTGGCTCCTCAGCTCTGGGCCGAACCCCAGGTTTGGTGAAAGACCTATTTTGATTATCCACCTAAGCCCAAAACAAGGGGTATCAAAGAGGTTGCTGTCACTTGCCAACTCTAGCTTGAGGCAGTAGCTGCCTGGGGCCCTCTTCTGAGGATCAGTGGAGAAAACAGTGGCACTCAGTAGTGGACATCTGCCAAAGCCTCCCACATTGTCAGCCCTCCCCTAAGCCCAAAGCCAGGACTCCTTGATTTTTTTTTCGCCAATCCAAGCTCTTGAGGCCAAACAGCTCCGAATAGCTGAGATGTGAGGCATAAAGAAGAAATACAAAATGCAAACAAGGGATTAGAGGCAAAGGAAAAGAACACTTCCCCTCCAAGGCTGGCCTCCATGCGTACACTCAGGCCCTGGGGAAGGCACGGGGACGTGAAACTGGCAGTGGAATAATATAGAGCTACAAAGACTCAAGAATTTTGTCCTAAGAAATAGGAATATTTCTCTATAGAAATAAGAGCTTTTAATCTCTTAATGCTCTTCATTCCTGAAAACTTCCCAAATTAATTAAACCATCAACTGTGGTATGACCAGCTGAGGGTACTGTCATTGTGAGGAACTAGAAAACATTGTATTCACCAGGACTCCTATTCAGGAAAATACAGTATTGTCAGGAAATAATTCCTTAGTGAGCTCTCTTGGAGTGGTGGTGGAGGCCCCAGGCCCAGGAGTTGGCTGATCCCAAGGCTTGAGAGATGAAGGAAAAACTGTAGAAGGAATAGACAAGGAAAGATTCTTGTTTTGTTCTTGAGAGGGAAAGGGGAATAAGAATAAGAAAAGGGGAGAAAGAACCCCTCATATCTCCATGAATGTCATGAAACTTTAAAAAATTAAAAATAAAAAATAAAACTTGCTTTGAATGTATTATTGGTGGTTCTGGACTGGATAGATAGGTTATAAAGAGAAAGAAACAGGAGTCAAAAATGTGGAGAACTACAGGCATGGCCTGAGGACATCTCAAAAATGGGCCAAACATTTGGAAGGGTCACAGGCCATGAACTTTAAGGTCTAAGACATGTTCATGTGTGTGACTAGGAGGTCTTCTAGGAGGTCTTCTCTAACATCTGGGTTCTTCCTCCTCTGCAACCCCAGAGGTCTGTGATGTCACAGGCCCCCATCACATTGCTGATTCTGCTGGATGTGGTCACACATGAGCCATGGGTCAGTTTATTGGTGCCCATCTCTGGCTCCTACTACAGCACCTCCCTCTTTGTCTCAGTCTGGCAGTGTAATTCTGTATATAGTGGAAAGTATCTCTGTGTTCAGGGTCACAAGGACTTTGGCCTGGTGGAGGCTCTGTCACTAACTGCCTGTGTGACCATGGTGGGTCTTTTTCTTCTCAGACTTCAGGATCTTGATTGGTAAAACGATAGAGGTGAGGAAGGAAAGGGTTAACTATCGCTTAGGTCCCTTACAAATCAAAATTCAGTAAATCTTGCCACTTCTTGGTACACTGTTGTTCCCACTTATACTCACACTTATAATATACCCTTTGTTCATTGTAGAAATAAAAGAATCAGGGTTTGTTGGTTTGTTAGTTTAAATAAAAGTTATTTACTTAGTAGCAGTTTCTCCACTGAGAACATACAGTAATTTAACATGCACTGGTTTTGTTACTTAGAACAAGAACTTTTTTAAAGCTAAGAAGAACAAGACAGATGGTATTTATATGTATACAAGTGTGTGTGTGTGTGTGTGTGTGTGTGTGTGTGTGTGTGTAATTCTCTAATTTTCTTTCCCCAGCCTTATGGGCATTCTCTTATTTGTGACTGTGTCTGCCTCTCCCAATAAGATGTTAGACCGTCGAGGCTCGCAACATAATGATACTCATCTCTGTGTCCTCCTAAAGCCTAGAGACCATGCCTTATATAAAGTGAGCATTTAACAGAGATTTGTTTAGCTGCGCTGAAAACGTACCAAGTCAAAATTTTTAAATGATTGCCTTGTACTGTGATAGGTTTGGTTATGCTGTGGGAATAACATAATCTCCAAATCTCAGGGGTTCAATGCAATAGAGGTTTGTTTGTTGGTTGGTTGGTTTTTGGTTTTTGGTTTGTTGTTGTTGTTGTTGTTATTGTTTTTCCTTGCCAAGGCAAACTCAACCATAGGATGGGTGGGAGGAGGGAGAAAAATATTTCTGTTCCTCACAGCCACTCAGGGACCCAGGCTGCGAAGAATCCTGCTTCCAAATGGTATGCCATCTGGAATACATGGCATCTTCAGAGAAAGAGATAAAAAATTCTTAAGGGCTTTTTCTTGCCTTCTGCACACATTTCATGAACCAGGACTAATCACATGGCACCAGCTAACTAGTGACACCAAGACTGATCATCGCTAATAACATCTATCACGTACTTTACTTGATAGCTCTAGTATTTTGGCAATATGGACTTCTTTGAGAATCTTGTACCAACAATGATCCCTCTCCCCAGAAAAAAAGACACAGATACACGGAAACTTACTCAACACTTTGCATGATTTTCAGGTTTTTTATGCATTTCAAGCCCCATTGACTGCTCCTCTGCAGATCTCAGGACCCAGATTATAAATCCTTACACTGAATCCACAAGCATGTTAACACCTGGTAACAGACCAACAGATGAAAGAAAAAAAAAAAAAAGACATTACTAAGATGAAATCAGAGAGGGAGACAAACCATAAGAGACTCTTAACTCTAGGAAACACACCGAGGGCAGCTGGAGGGGAGGTGGGGTGGGAGGATGGGGTAATCAGGTGAGGGGCGTTAAGGAAGGCATGTGATGTAATGAGCCCTGGGCGTTACATGCAACTGATGAATCACTGAACTCTACATCCGAAACTAATAATACACTAATTAAAAAAATACATTACTAGTGTTCTGTTTTATTTGAGAAAAGCCAATTTATTTACTTAATTATTTGTGTTGGATCAGGCATCATGCAAGATACATGGCTGATGGATTTTCCTCTGTTTGTTTTGCTTTTACCAGGAAAAATTTGAGGGCCTGTTTCGGACTTACGATGACTGCGTGACGTTCCAGCTGTTTAAGAGTTTCAGACGTGTCCGAATAAACTTCAGCAATCCCAAATCTGCAGCCCGAGCCAGGATAGAGCTTCATGAAACCCAGTTCAGAGGGAAAAAATTAAAACTCTACTTTGCACAGGTAAGGTCATTCTTGCTCTACGTTATCTTCTGCTTTTTAAAAAAATGTAAATGGAGGCCTTTCTACTTTCAGGCTGGTTTGTAGTCAATAATTAGTTCATGGAGAAATAAACCTGCACCGTGGATCCCCAGGCAGGTACATCACAGAGGTTCAGAAAGCAGGCTGTAAGGGCTGACAGCCTGGGCTGTCACTGGGCAAGACACATACTCTCAGTGGGCCTGTTTCCTCACCTGGGAAAGGAGGAGGGTGATACACACCTCCGACTGTTGCTGGGAGGATTAAAGGAACTATTACTGTGTGTTCAAATGCCTGGCATTTGGTAAATACACAGTAAACACCAGCTGGTGGTCATAGTAAGAACGGTCTATTCACAACTACTCCGAAACTTCCTAGCAGGGTTATGGTTAAAATTTCAGTTATATCCTAGTTTTAGTGACTCCTGTTCATGAGAAAACATGACAAACATGGAAATCAATTTTGTGTTTATTTCATCCAGAAATAAATATTGGCTATTCCCAAAGGGCACGGGCAATTCTTGGCAATGCTCACAACGTCCACAGCAATAAAAAATCAATGTCCTAGGGGTGTCTGGGGGGCTCAATTGGTTAAGCATCTGCCTTCTGCTCAGGTCATGATCCCGGGGTCCTGGGATCGAGTCCCACATCAGGCTCCCTGCTTGTTTTTGCACTCTCTCTCTTTCTCTCTCTGCCAAATAAATAAATAAATAAAATCTTAGAAAAGAAAGAAAAGAAAAAAGTTCCATCAGTGTCTTCCCTTCATCATCAGATATCTTGATCCATCCCTTATTGGTCAGTAAACATTGTTCCCATCTTCGAACTCTACAAAGGTGGCACAATGAAAAAACGTTGACTTTGCTTCTTTTTAAGGCCAAACAGTATTCCATTGTATGTAGATGCAACGTTTTCTTCACCCATTCATCTGTTGATGGGCATTTATGTCATTGCCACATCTTGGCTATTATGAATAGTGCTGTAATGACCATGAGAGTTAATATTTCTTCAGGAGCCGGATTTCAATTCTTTTGCGTAAATATCCAGAGGTAGAATTGCTCAGATGGTGGTTCTATCTTTTATTTTTTGGAGGAACCTTCATCTTGTTTTCTATAGTGGCTGCATCATATGCATTCCCCCCAACAGTATGCAAGGGTTCCAGTTTTTCCACATCCTTCCCAACACTTGCTGTCTTTTATCTATTTATTGGATTTTGATAATACCCATCCTGATGGGTGTGAGGTTATATCTCACTGTGGTTTTGACTTGCATTTCCCTGATGCTTAGTGACCTAAATATTTTTTTATATGCCTGTTGGCCCTTTATGTATCTTCTTTGAAGAAATGTTTATTTGAGACCTTAGATCATATTTTAACTGAGTTGTTAGGTTTAATTTGGGTTTTTTTGTTGTTGTTATTGTTTTGAGAGATTTTTTTTTCTTGCTTTTGAATCATAGAAGTTCCTTAACTCTTTATCCTGTATATGGATAAGGAGATTAACCTCTCCTCCATATGGTTTGTAAATATTTTCTCTCATTCGTGGATTGCCTTTTCACTTTGTTGATATTTCTTTGGCTGTGCAGAAGACTTAGTTTGACGTAGTCTTGTTTCTTTTTCTTTGTGTTGCCTGTGCTTGTAGTGTCATATCTATGAAAACATTATCAAGGCCAATGTCTTGAAGCTCTCCACTCTATTTTCTTCTAGAATTTTTGCAGTTTCGGGTCTTACATTTTGAGTCTTTAGTCCATTTTGAGTTAATTTTTGTATATGGGATAAGATAAGGTTTCCATTTCATTCTTTTATATGTGCATATCATTTTCCCAACACCATTTGTTGAAGAGACTGTCCTTTCCTCATTGTGTACTGTTAGCACCCTGGTTGAAGGTCAGTTGACCCTATGTTTTGGATTCATTTCCGAACTCTCTGTTCTATATGTCCATTGGTCTGTATGTGTGTCTTAATGCCAATACCATGCTATTTTGCTTACTGTAGCTTTATAATGTATTTTAAAATCAGGAGGTATGAGCTTGCTCTTTCTCAGATTGATTTGGCTATTTGTGGTCTTTTGTGGTTCTATATGAATTTTAGAATTTTTTTTTTTTACCATTTCTTTAAAAAAAAAAAAGCCATTGGGATTTTGGTAAGGGTTGCTTTAAATCTGTAGATTGCTTTGGACAGTGTGGACATTCTGCAACATGGATGAACCTCGAGGACATGATGCTAAGTGAAATAAGCCAGTCACACAAAGGTGAATATTGCCTGATTCCACTTAGATGAGGGATCTAACATCATACAGTTCATTAGAACCGAAGAGTAGAATGGTAGTTGCCAGGGACTAGGAAGAGGGGGAAAAGGATGAGTTACTAATTAACAGATATAAAATTTCAGGTAAAGAAGATAAATATGCTTTAGAGATCTACTGTACAAAACTGTACCGGTAGTCAACAATAATATACTGTAGACTTAATTTGTTAAGAGAGTAGATCTCCTGGGGTCCCTGGGTGGCTCACTCAGTTAATCATCTGCCTTCGGCTCAGGTCTGATCCTGGGGCCTTGGGATCAAGCCCCCTGCTCAGGGTGGAACCTGCTTCTCTCTGCCCCTCCTCCTACTTGTGCTCTCTCTTTCTCAAATAAATAAATAAAATCTTCTTTTAAAAGAGGAGGGTGGATTTCCTGTTAAATGGTCTTTTCACAATAAAGTAAAATAAGATGTAAAAAAGAAGAACATAGACTTTGGCCCCAGACCCATGTTTGAATCCCATACTGCCAGAAACTGTGTTACTTGTAGAAACCTCAGTTTTTATCTATTGAATCCCCACTTGTTTCCTTAAAAAGTTAAACAGAGAGTTACCATCTGACCCAGCAAGTATCCCTTCCGAGGTGTACATCTAGAAGACTTGAAAACAGATCTCAAACAAATACCCATACTCATATGTTCATGGTGGTACTATGCACACTAGCAGAAAGTTGGAAACAATTGGAATGTGCGTCAGTGGGTGGAGACAAACAGATGGTGGTCTGTCACTCACTGGGATGTTACGCAACCATCAGAAGGGATGCAGTACCGGGTGTGCGAGGACGTGGATGAACCTGTAAATATGCTAAGGGAAACAAGCTAAACACAAAAAGGTCACATCATCTCATTCCGTTTCTGGGAAATGTGCAGAACAGGCAAATCCATAGAGTGGACTGGTGGTTGCCAGGGTCTGACTCGAGGCCAGAATGGTAGGAAATGTTTCATGGGCACAGGGTTTGCTTCGGGGCGATACAGATGCTTTGTCTCTAGGCTGAAGTGGGGATGGCGCCCCGTGCCACTGATTGTTCACGTTAGAGTGCTTCATGTCACATGACGGGAAGATCGCCTCAAAAGAATGAGAGAGAGAGAGAGAGAGAGAAAGAGGAAAGAAAGGGAGCAGGGAGTCTGGAGAGCAGTGGCCTCAGCCTCAGGTGGGAACTTGTGCTCAATGCAGAGTCCCGGGCCCTGCCCCAGCTCGGCCGAATCAGGCACTCCGGCCTTTCGGAAGTTGTCCAGGTAATCGCGATGTCCACTAGGAGTCGAGATTCGCTGTTCTAAGGATCAGGTGACCGAGCAAGTGGTGGATGGTAATCAGAGATTATTAGGGTAGCCTGGTTCACTGGTTCCTTTGTCACGGGCTGAAAATGAGACTCTGCAGCTTCGGGTCCCTGCACGGCCCATTTGAGGCCCTGATGAATACTCTGTCTTCATCTCTCCTCTGTTTGAAAGGTTCAGGCCCCAGAGACAGACGGTGACAAGCTGCATTTGGCACCGCCGCAGCCCGCCAAGCAATTCCTCATCTCACCCCCGGCGTCTCCTCCCGTGGGCTGGCAGCCCATCAGCGATGCCACGCCAGTGCTCAACTACGACCTCCTCTACGCTGTGGCCAAACTAGGACCAGGTATGCTCTGGGGCCCCTTTGGAAAATAGACAGTGTCGGCAACCTAGAAAGGCCAGATGGGATAAACGACCATGAGATCCGGGGCTCATGGGAACATGTGCCTTTCTAATGGGTTTATGGCCATGTGTGGACAGCAAGAGGGCTGACGGGTCAGAGAGGAAGAACCAGCTTTGGACTTTGTCCCCGTTTAACAGCAATTTGGGAATGTGGACTGCAAGGTCTGTCTGTGCTGTTTCTGCACTGCGATGCAGATGCTTTAAGGTTGGAAAGAGCTACCTAATTCTCATGGGCTTCCTCTCTGTACCATAAGGAATTTTGGTATATTTGGTATATTCTGGTATATTCTGGTTTTCTCAGAATAGGCAAAATACGCTCTACCAGCTGGCACTAGGCTTCTGTGCTGTGCAACCGTCTTTTATTGCTGCCATAGGAAAGCCCAAGAACCTTCTGAAACAAGACAGTCTTCCTGCCAAGGTGAAGGCGCTTGGTCTCCAAGAAGCCAGTTACAGTAGCCTTTACCTTTAAAAAAAAAAAACAAAAAAAACCTTACGATCATTTCCTTCCAATGTTGGTATACATGGCTCAGATTCTCTCGTTTTCAAGACTGAATAGTATTCCACTGGGCAAATATACCATCACACTTGATTCGTCCGGTTTCCCGAGTCGGACATTTAGACTGTTTCCAGTTTCTCACCATTCCAGTCAGAGGTACAGTTAACATCCTTGTACATATTTCCTATGCACCGATCCAGAATTTCTTTACGTGGGTTCCTAGAAGTGATACCATCCTCACTTTCAGCACACAGATGCTGCCACCTCGCTTGAAAAAATACTCCCAGGGGGCGCCTGGGTGGCTCAGTGGGTTAAGCCTCTGCCTTCAGCTCAGGTCATGATCTCAGGGTCCTGGGATCGAGGCCCGCATCGGGCTCTCTGCTCAGCAGGGAGCCTGCTTCCTCCTCTCTCTCTGCCTGCCTCTCTGCCTACTTGTGATCTCTCTCTCTCTCTCTCTCTCTTTGTCAAATAAATAAATAAATAAAATCTTTAAAAAAAAGAAAAAGAAAAAGAAAAAATACTCCCAGGGATTAAGACAGGTGAAATGAAATGGGGTCGCTTAGGTCAAGGGGTTTTTAAATGGAGCTGGAAGACCCACTAAAGAGATGGGACTTAGGTACATCCTTACCCCATAGGACCATGAACTTTTTGAACTGGGCCCAACCACATATGATATTCCAAGAACTCAACGTGCAACTTTTTCTACTAAGAGGTTTTGCTTAGTGACAGCCTTAGCAAGCAGTCACATTCAGCCAAGATAGTGTGCCACCAATGCCCATCAAAATTCTTCGTAAACAACACATACAAGCATTGCCTTTTGTCTTTAAAAAATGCTTGATTTTCGTTCCCTGGGGCGAGGGCACGCTTTGGTTGGACGCCCCCATCTGTGTTCCCCAAACTACAATTCCGAGACCCTAAAGGAATGCTCTTGGTTTTTACTGGCTCAGCCTCTTTTTTCAGTTGATGGTATATTTCCTTATTACAGCAGGAGGGGACATGATGGGAGGGGCAGCTGAGGGTTTAGGCACTGTGGGTCCGAGGGTAAATAACGCCCACCGTGTCTGCTACTAGCTGTTCTCCTGGTGGGAGGGGGACTTTAAAAATACCATCCCAATGTCCTGGCCGCACCCTAAGAGATTCTGATTTAATTGATTTGGGTCAAGTTCAGGCATTAGTATTTTTTTAAAGTTCCCCTAAAACTCTCAAGAGCCACTGATAGCCAAGGGACAAAGAGCGGATAGACTTAGAATGAATTGTTACCGGTATTTCTTAGTGTGCTCAGGAAGATACACGGACCAGAATCGCCCCCTGGAAGTCTGCAGTTTTCATCATCACACGTAATGATTCTTGCACCCACAGAAATTTGAGGACCCTGGTGACTAGAGCGATCACGCCTGGGGCGACCACTCGTAGGATGACCAGTCCTGGGTGAACCACTGTTCTGGCTCACCCAGGACTGAAGGCTTCCTGGGAACGTTCAGTGCCAAACACAGGAAATTCCCAGGCAGACCAGGAAAGGAAGGCACCCTAGTGGGTCCTCAGATTAGGATGTGGCTGGTTTGAGTAATAAGCCCTCCCTGCAGAGACTAACTGGCTGTCCCATGTGACCAGAACTTAAATCTAGTACTCCTGAGAGCAAGCAGCCTAGGGCTTCTTTCTAACTGGCATCAAGGTACTCAGCGTCTCGGGGGCCTTTACACTGGCCATGGGTTACCCCCTCGGAGAGCTCTTGTGAGAAGCAGTAGGTCCCTGACTAAAAAGAGCTGAGGGGAGAGCAATGTGATAAGAAGAGAGGTATTCACGACACGGGATTTCTCTGAGAGCCTTGTCCACGTACAGGAACCCAGAGCCAATGTACTCCCCGTACAAAGAACGGTGTCGGTGATAGGAGTAAACGTGACCTTTATAAAATAAGTCGGGTCTGCCCAAGTCAAACCTTGTGGGAAAGCTTTTCCCACAGTAACTGCGGACACTCCCAGAACTAGGAACACGCAGCCCCAGATGGACCGGCTGAAGCCGAGGGACTCAGAACTGCCAGCTTGCCTCTCATGCACAGATGCTGCAGCGAACACGTTTGAACACCTTGTACAGTTGTGCGAATGTCGGGAAGGGCAGCTTCGGAGGATCACCGAGGTCTTGGCTGGAGGACGCAGGAGTCACTGACCAGCCTGCATTTGACAGGAGGAGGACCCGAGAGGCCCAGACAGGGGAGGAGTCACTCGCCAGTGACAGAGCCTGGGCGTCCAAGGCCGTGCTCTTCCTCCAGCACTGTGTATAAGGGAGGCCCAGGACAAGTCAGACTTCCTGACCGCCAGATCCCAGCTGGCCTCCGGTGCGCTCACTTGGAGCCCGGAATCCAGTACACACAAATCATTTGCTCCAAAATGGGAAAGGGAACTTATGGTAGTTAATGTTCACAGATCTTGATGCAAAGACAAAATGAGGACGAGTCTCGGAGACCCTCACTGGCTAAGGGAGCAGAGTCCCGGGTCTGGAAGACAAGGCCAGGGGTGGGTGCGACCTGCTGCTGATGGAGGCAGAAGGAATGGATGGAGTAGGAGTTAGGCCTAGAAGGGAGGCTTCCAGAGCCTGGCACAGGGGAGGGAGGAAGGAGGAACGAAATGGTCGTCAAGAGGCAGAGAAAGCCAGGGGTTTTTTTGAGAGCTGTGAATAACAATGGCAGAATAAAAAATGCATGCCCTTTTCCTTAGCGGTGCTGCTAACCTCTGAGTCTGGCTTTTCCTTACCCTGTGCAGTGAGCACCAGGAGAGCAATTATTAATTGCATTTTACAGATCAGAACGCTAAGCCATAGAGACGTGAACCAGTTTGCCCAAAGGGAAACAGCTGGTTGGGGGCAGAGACAAGTGTCAAACCTGGCTCTGCTTACTCCCCCACATGGCCAGGTGCCCTGGCCTTTGACTGAGGACGCTGGTGGCCTTGGTGGACGTGAGGCCCCTGTTGCTGGGACGCTGGCAAAACATTCATCCTAACCCTGAGTGAAGAGCTATCCCTAACACCACTGTGACTCTCAGAAAGCCAAACCCAGGGGTGGCAGGTATGCACATGGAGTCCTGAGCACTGTGTGTATAAGGGCGAACACCGAGGGTCTTCTGTTTTTGGAGGATGACTGATGCTGTGTCCCGGGCGTGTTTTCTGGGATAGCGTTCCCTCCATTCTCTGCCAGCAACTTGAGGCTGCTCCTCTTTATTTAGTTCTCCATTTGTCCTCTTCCTGTGTCCTTGAAGTTTCTTTACCCCACACAGATGGACGATTTGCAGCCAACACTTGAGTTGAAAATATCACAGAGGCTATATTAGAAGCCTGGGTGTCTGTGGCTGTTCCAGCCGCAAGCATGAAGGAGCACAGCCACGCCCCGTGTCCTTCCCACCGCATCTGGGCCCCCCCCTGCCCACGGGGTACCAAGGCAGGCACGTGCTTCTTCAACCTTCTCATGCCAGTTGCACAGATTCTCCCGTGTTCCTCCTACAATAATTCTCCGTCGTTCAACTCACTGTCTTCTCCACTTCTGCTACCCCCAGCACCTGGGAGCACCTTGCACAGTAGGTACTCAGCAAATATTGAATGAATGACTAGATCAGAGCCCTCAGCCTGCCCAGGGATAATTTCTTCACCAGCAAATGGTTGCTTTCTTATGGCTTTGTCCCGACCAAGTCAGGCAACACTAAATTAATGTTTTCTTCAAGGAGAGGTCTTTGAGCATTTCCATTTGGAAAAAAAAAAGAAAAAAAAAAGATTTTGTGAGATTCACTCTTAATCTTTTGGCAGAAGCATTTCAGTAAGAAATTATAACTCATTCCATGTTAAGGGGTGGCTGCCTCAGTTCCGGGAATGTAGAAACACAGTAACATCAGAGCAGAGAAAGCAACTCAGAGGCATGGGGTTTGCTTCCGAGGAATGACTAACACCACTAAATTGGGAGAGCTGAGTGACTGAGAAGAGATGTTAGAATCCAAAGATGCTGAGCTAAAGTAGGTCTGGAGAAAGAGCATCAGAGAGCGGGGATCCAGGGCAAGATGGCGCTCGGGCTGGGTGAGGATCACCTCAGCAAACCAGCAGGCTCATAGGATCATGAATGTGCCCAGCAGCCCTGAAAGGCAAGGATGTGCATTACTAAGACCCTTTCACGGAGGACACTTTCATGGAGGTTCTGACGAGCAGGAGCAAAACAGGATTCCCCTTCTTTGGGAGAGGGACGGCGGTGACCTTCTTCCAGACAGGAACAGCTCATGCTCATGGAACATGTGGAGAGGCTTTTGAAATAAGCATGGAGAGTGCAATTACCTTGGAACCATGATCAAACCCAAGCCTGTGGGATTCCTTTGAAATCCTTCCTAGGCTGTTATAACACCTCTTAGGACACAAGGGCCCCATAACCCTGGAGAAGTGAGTCTGGTTCTATTTATTGCAGTGAGTACAGTGTATACT